TGAAGAAGGACCATCAGCAATTGCTTACTAAAGGCCTTCTGAAGCGGATTTATTGGAAGGTTGCTGTCGGCAAGTTGCCTGTGGGGCAAAGGGACTGTCAGAAGGGGTCCAATAAAATGGATCGAAATTTGGTTATTAGCATGTCATCCGAAGGTGCAAGCGAACAGGATTTGAACCTGGCACTGGTGGACGATGCTGATCAGTCAATGGATGATGGTACATTGGTGGTTATGGTGTATGACCCACGAACGCTGATTCAGTCGCCAACAACTGATTGGGTTATGCGTCGCGGTTTGACCGATCGTACCATCTGGCCGGCAATAGCGACTGCAGCACAGAGGATATGTGCTGAAATGGTTCAAGTGGATGAACTGAATGCCCAGCTGGAGACTGGGACACTCCTTTTTCAAAGGAGAGATCAAGGACATTATGGTGATTTGCATCATTCGTTCCATGAAAATCCGTGCTTGCCGGCGGTGGGAAATTATCCTCTCTCAGTGATGGGTGCATTGCTGTCTCCTGGTCTGGAAGGGGAATTCAGAAATACTGAAAAGTTTGGAACTGCTATGGAGGCAATCGCCTACGATTGGAGTCGCAGTCCAGGCATGGAAGTTACGGTAGCCAAATTGGTTGCTCCGTTCCTTACCCTAGGAGGCCAAGGGTCAGTGGTGAATTCAGAATTTCTCTGGCAGCGCGGGAGGGATCAAATGATGGAGTTCCTTCAGGCGGCGACTTGTGCTGATCAATTGGAGGTTCTCTGGAAAAGGATGGACGACGATGCTGACGAGGAAGTGGATCCTTCAGGGATGGTGCTGGAGATTCTCGGACAGCAAGATGCGGTACTTGAACAAGGGATCAATGAATCCCCTATTCCCATTGAAGATGCTGGAAGTGAGACAATTGGTGACACTGGAAGGGATAGCAAAGCGCCAGAAGTTTCTCCAGAAGAGGAGACATCCAGTGGTTCATCAAGATTGGCTGGCACCAGAATGTTCTTGTGGTCGGTGTAATCTCGTGTCGCTTCCAACTGGGATTTTTCTACGCAGGACCGCACTACTGGTAGGATCTTTGACAGCACGAAGGGGTATCCTGGTGAAGGACCGGACAATGGTGACGATTTTTCCTCTAAGAGGAACTTACCCTGGATCTCTGAAGATTACCTCGACGAAGTGGTGTCAAAAAAGAGGGAAAGGTCTTCAGATATGGATGGGTTGGATGGGTTTGTTCCGGAAAGTGAGGGACAGTCGGAAAACGTAGAGGTGGAGAATTTTACTGCCTCTAGAATTCTTATGGCTCTTTGGAAAAAGGGATATAGAGCTGGGTATAGGAGGTTGTGTCGTTCGAATGTATCTGGATCCAAGGTTGGAGCAATGAATCATCCAATCAAAAAGGTGCGGAAGATCGGCACTAGAAAGGCCTTCTTGAAAATGTTCAATGTTTTTGGATCGTCTCAGCGTGGCTCAGGAGCTGGTGGAAAACCAATCATGAAGGTGGTAGGACCAAGGCCAGGTTTTCCAGCTGTACTCAAAGCATCAAATACTGATAGCACCTTGGGTGAAGGGAGCAGTTCTCAGGTACATGGCAATGTTCATGTAGAGCAGAATCGCCCTATGGACCGGTACGAGGCGGAGCGTCTGGAGAAGAGGAAGAAAGGCTTCTGCTATTGGTTCAGCAGGGGAAAAGATCGCTGCAAATTTGGTGAGAGTTGCAAATTCATCCATTCAGAAGATGATGTGGTGCTACAATCGTATTGGTGCAAGTACTATGTGGCTGGGAGACACTGCTTCTCTGGAGAGAACTGTAAGTTCTCACACAATGCAACTGGTGTAAGGTGTATCCAGTTTGCTCAGTCTGGGAAGTGCCGTTATGGGGACAAGTGTGTCTTTGAGCATGGTGATCCGCTGGATGAACAGAGGCCAAGGTCTCCAAGGACGCGCCCAAGGGATAGTCCAAGGAGAAGTGCTGGTACAAGAGGTGGAGGAAAGGAGATTTCTCCTGAACGGTATGATGAAGAAGAGGAGGATTTCATGGTGTATGACGACGATACCAGGATGGTAGAACTGCTGATGCAGGCGATTTCATATATGTCTGATGGCAAGTCAGATTTAGCTCGTGCAGAGGCGGACCCAGTGTTCAAACTCCTGAAGTTCAATGGAGACACTGAACAGATGGATACAGAATGGTGTTCATGGACCACTGGTATGCTGTCCTTGCTGGAACTTCACGAAATAGTGAAGTCGTATGAGGTTTCGCTGGTGGACGTGGAAGAATGGGTCAATGACCTGAGGATATGGTTCCAGCGAGCCAATATGGAAGAAGAGAGAGATCCAAAAAGGGGCAAAAAGAGGTCCCTAGAAAGGGAGTCCAGTAAGGATACTCCTGCCGAAAAGGAGGTGGTTGGAACTTCGGAGACGGATGTTGCCGTTGAAGAAGAGGTGAAAAAGGCCAAAAAGAAGAGGAAAACTGCGGCTAGCGAGGATCCTTATACTCTTCTGGTTCCAAAGCCGAAGAATTTGCCGGCGAACATTGAGAAGGGTGGATCATCATCCAATGCGGTGGTTTCTGGAGGGGAAAAGGCCTCTTCGAGAATGCGCACAAAGGCAAGCGTCGTGGGAAAGACGAAGAAGAAAGAGAAAAGTCAAAGCCCCAAGAAGGAAGAGGTGGTAGTGGTGAAAGGTCCTGAGGAAAAGGATCGTTCCTCTGATGTGGATGCGCAAGCGTCTACTACTGTGGATGCAGAGCTGGGTCAATCTTGCCAAGCAATTGAGGACGCGAAGAGAGAAGGATTGGTATCCTCAATTCAAAGGTGTGTGCAGGATCCTGTTCTTACAGTGTCGGACCTGGAGCACGTTTTGCTGCGACTTCACCTAAGCATCGATGCCCACCGGAAGAAGAAGAAGGGATGACTGGATGGTATTGATGAGGGAATGGTTTTTTCTCTTTCTGAAGACAAGTGCGCTGGAACAGCCAATGTGCTGAAAGTATGGTGGTTACTATTAAGGGTATGGAAATCCCTGATAGTAGAAAGTTAGTAGCCTTTTGCGTAGCGAAGACCACGGTTCGTGGTGAAGAAGGCTGAAGAGTCTTCAATGACAAGAGAATCATGGTGGTAAAAAGATTCTCTATGGTAAAAGGTGTTTAGCCAATGTGCTATAAATTCGTCCTGGATGACGTTAAACCATAACATGCATTCCAAGCAGCTGGCTGCTGCCCTAATGGCAGTTTTTGGCCAAAAGTCTGCACCTCCAGTGTGTGTCCTAGGAAATCCTAGGACAGGGGGAGTGCGGAGCTGCAGTTTGTATTGTGGAAAAGAGTTGGTGTTGAAGGATAAAGGGTCAATGAACCTGGTAACCTTTGTGGCTCAAGAATGGCCACTAACAACGGCTGTTCAAAGCGAAAAGCAGTGCCCTGGGGTTTGGGGTTGGGGTTGGTGTCTGGTTACTTTGGTAAGGATATCCCCCTCCCTCCTTCGGGTGCTCTTGTTTGGATCTGTGTTGTGTTCTTCGGTTCAGGGAGTTCATTTAGGCAGCCAAGGGTTGAGATTCCTTCTTTTCCCCTTTTGGTTGCCCCCGTACCCTAAACCCTAAAAAACCCAAGACCCTAAACCCCAAAAAACCCTAAACCCTAAAAAACCCTAAACCCTAAAAACAACCCTAAACCCTAAACCCTAAAAAGCCCTAAACCCTAAACCCGAAAAAACCCTAACAAACCCTAAACCCGAAAAAACCCTAAACCCTAAAAAACCCTAAACCCTAAACCCTAAAAAACCCTAAACCCTGAAAAATCCTAAACCCTAAACCCTAAGAAAACCCTAAACCCTAAACCCTAAAAAACCCTAAACCCTAAACCCTAAACCCTAAAAAACCCTAAACCCTGAAAAACCCTAAACCCTAAACCCTAAAAAATCCCTAAACCCTAAACCCTAAAAAACCCTAAACCCTAAACCCGAAAAAACCCTAACAAACCCTAAACCCTACAAAACCCTAAACCCTAAACCCGAAAAAACCCTAACCAACCCTAAACCCTAAAAAACCCTAAACCCTAAAAAACCCTAAACCCTAAACCCTAAACCCTAAAAAACCCTAAAGCCTAAAGAACCCTAAACCCTAAAAAACCCTAAGCCCTAAACCCTAAACCCTAAAAAAACCTAAACCCTAAACCCTAAAAAACCCTAAACCCTAAACCCTAAAAAACCCTAAAGCCTAAAAAACCCTAAACCCTAAAAAACCCTAAGCCCTAAACCCTAAACCCTAAAAAAACCCTAAACCCGGAAAAACCCTAAACCGTAAACCCTAAAAAACCCTAAACCCTAAAAAACCCTAAGCCCTAAACCCTAAAAAAAACCCAAACCCTAAAAAACCCTATACCCTAAAAAACCCTAAACCCTAAAAAACCCTAAACCGTAAACCCTAAAAAACCCTAAGCCATGATCCCTGAACCCTAACCCTGAACCCTAAACCCTTAACCCGACTCCCCAAACCCGAGTCGTGGCACCCAAACGAGCGTGTTGCTCGTTTGGGCGCCAAGATCTTCGAAATAAACCCTAAACCACTTCCAAGCTGCACGCGGCACTTCCCGGCACTTCCAAGCTGCACACGGCACTTCCCGCCACTTCCAAGCTGCACGCGCTCTAAAAGCCCTGGGTTTCGAAGTTTCCGGCTTGAAAATACGTGGTAAATATACCAATGAAAACAAGACGTGTGTGCGGCCTGGAAGGTCGGAAGACTGTGTTTAGCTGTGTGCGCCTTGGACGCGCGGACGCGTGCGCCTTGGACGCGCCGGCCCTTGTGTGGTGGTTCTACACCCCGGCTTTGTGACAGTAGGTCCAAATTGGGGTTGCAGTTACTAAAGCTAAACGTAGTGCTACTATTTTCTATCGGTCCATGCTAAGAGAAGGACAACGTAGTTGAAGCTCCTGAACAGCAACCCAGAATTCCTCCCAGCGATTCCTAAACCTTAAGCCCTAAAGCTCGGCCCTTTTGTCTAGGGCTGCTCCCCAGGAAGCTCGTGTCCAAAGACGAGCGAACTATGATCGTCGTCCTCGTTCCCACCAAGCTGCTTGGCAGTCGAATATGCAAGCTAAGTTGTAAAGCCCTAAGAATTCTCGACTGACATGAGCGGGTCAAAGAGCCAATGAAGCTGCGATCAAGCTTTTAGGGCAAACCTTGGATACTTTGCGCGCCTCTTGTTTGTCCTGATCTGCTCACGTCGCCCTCAGAGGTAGGCATTGTCCTTCATCGAGGGCTTACTGCCATAGTATGCGCAGGTATACAATATGTAAAAAATGTAAAAAGTTCAAAAACACAAAAAATAAGAAATATATCCGTATTAATATAAATATTAATATAAAAATATAAATAAACATATATATATATACATATATGTATATATGTATATGTATGTGTATAGACAGGCTCAGTGTCGAAGGCTGCTCCTGTGAATCCCGCAGGTTCTGGACGTCAATCAGCGCCCTCCTCCCTAAACCCTAAACCCTAAACCTTAAACCTTAAACCTTACACCCTAACCTCACCGAATTTGTCCCCTTGGCAGGCCCTTAGGACATGTTGCGTCTTCCCTTGGGCGCAAGAAGGTCACATGTAGGATTTGCTTCAGAGGGTTTTAAGGGCCATCCTGGTCACCTTGGGTTTAGGGTTTAGGGTTTAGGGTTTAGGGTTTAGGGTTTAGGGTTTAGGGTTTAGGGTTCAGGGTTCAGGGTTCAGGGTTCAGGGTTCAGGGTTTAGGGACCCTGTCTTTCAAGTGAGCCCAAAAAACCATGATTGTCAAAGCCCCATGAGCCGCAAGCAAGAGAAAAAAGCGCCACAAGCTCCGGTGCTGCATGCTGGGCAACCTCGAACCCTATAAACCCCTAAGCCCTAACCCCCTCGACCTGGGATACTTCCCCCCCTCCCATAACAGTCGGAGACTGGATTTCGGGGGGAGGCACGCGCCCTCTCCCGCTCCCTCCCCCCCGCGCGCACCAACATCTTGGGCTGGAAACCTGTTGAAGTTTGGTTTGGGGTGACTGTTTTAGGTCCGTCGGATAGCCAACCTAAACCCCGAAACCCCTAAATACACGGATGCCGAGCGGAATCCCGAGGTTTCCAACAATGGCGACATTTCAACACGAAGGATACAACAACACGATCTTTGCGCCGTGGCTCTACAGACGCTTGGACCCGAGATATAGAGCTCCACCATGTGAGACCCAAGGTTCATGGGTACTTATAAGTAGGGTTCGAAGTTGCGTAGCTGTAGTTAGCACGTTATAACTGTGTTTAGATAACTGTGTTTAGAGCACCTTACAACCCTAAACCCTAAACCCTAAACCCATGCAAACTTCAAGGAACTGCCCGAAAGGACAGAAGCCTTAAAGCCTCTCAACGTGCATCCCATGCCTGGGCTGTCATTCGGAGCAACTGAAGTCCCAAAATCCGCACCTCACTTCCCTCCTCAACCCTAAACCCTAAACCCTAAACCCTAAACCCTAAACCCTAAACCCTAAACCCTAAACCCTAAACCCTAAACCCTAAACCCTAAACCCCAAGTCCTGAGGAAAGCAACTGATGGAGTTCCTCCACAGCCCCTTTGGCTCTTAGATGGGCTTGCCCATGTCGTTTCGGGGAGCGCGTGGGCAAATAAAGAATGACGACCTGACAGTGATGGGTAACGTTTGCAAAGGGCCTTAGAGGCTGGGGTTTGGGGTTTAGGGTTTGGGGTTTAGGGTTTAGGGTTTGGGGTTTAGGGTTTGGGGTTTAGGGTTTAGGGTTTGGGGTTGAAACGGCTGAGGGCTTATGGGTTGAGGATGACATGCTAGAAGCAGCCATGCTTCTAAGTACTCTACCAGGTACCCTAAGTGGGCCTAGGAGTGCAAGAGTCCAACTGGGCCTCCTCCTTCGTCTCCCCCGAGCAACAACCGAAGGCGATGGCATCTTGGCGACGCCTTAGCAATCATTCTGCCCACCATGCACTGCAAACACCGGCGGAGCAAAGAGTCTCTCTCCGCGCCCCACTTCAACGACACACTCGCGAAACAAGTGAAAGCTGCGCCTATACATATACATGCAGATGCATCTCTGTCTCTGTCTCTCTGTGCGTGTCTCCCTCTGTCTCTCTCTCTCTCGCCCTTTCTCTCTTCCCCCACTTTCCGAGCCCTTTAACCCTAAACCCTCAACCCTCAACCCTCAACCCTAAACCCTAAACCCTAAACCCTTTTTAGTTTGGCTTCGGAGCATGCCTAGGCCTCATGGAGCGCCCACCACCCGGCATAGAGCTGCAGCTCACGGGCAATCCTGTGATCGAATACGAGAGGCTCAGAAGAAGCAGTGGGGTTTAGGGTTTAGGGTTTAGGGTTTAGGGTTTAGGGTTTAGGGTTTAGGGTTTAGGGTTTAGGGTTTAGGGTTTAGGGTTTAGGGTTTAGGGTTCAGGGGCCCTGGAAAAGGGTGGGGACAGCCTATGAGCAGGCCGGTTGCCGAATTTCTTAACCTCCATTAAGGGGTTCTGATGTAAGGGCCCTAAATTTGTACAGGGTATATAAGGGGCACCCTTTTAAGGGCCCATATTACAGGACCATGTAGCCTGAAACCCAAGAGGTGGGCAGAACTGCCTCCAACCCGCAAAAAGGATCGAAAAGGTGCGATGGGTACTGGAATAGTTAGGCCCCAAGCCCAAACAAGACAGGTCTGACATCTGCCGAGATAAACCCTAAACCCTAAACACTAAACCCTAAACCCTAGACCCTAAACCCTAGACCCTAGACCCGAGGGAGCTCCGGGCCCCTTCTCGTGACGCAGGTTCTTTGACCGCAGCATTGAGTTGCTGATGCACGCCGAGGCGGAAGCTCGGAGAGAGCTGCCGTAAGGGTACAGGGTTTAGGGTTTAGGGTTTAGGGTTTAGGGCTTAGGGTTTAGGGTTTAGGGTTAGGGTTCAGGGTTCAGGGTTCAGGGTTTGGGGTTTGGAGTTTGTAGTAGGGGCCATTTGTACGACAAAAATCTGGACCGCAAGGAGGAAGACGAATCGCTTCGGCAAGCCTTGGCTTGACAGACATCTTCACCCTCATCAATCCAAAGCCTAAACCCCCAAGCCACAAGGCATACAAACTCCAGGAGCCTAAACCCTAAACCCTAAACCCTAAACCCTAAACCCTAAACCCTAAACCCTAAACCCTAAACCCTAAACCCTAAACCCTAAACCCTAAACCCTAAACCCTATACGGGGGGCAACCGAAGGAGGACAGGGAACAAAACAGTCAACCCCAACAGAAGCCCTTGATCCCCTGGACCAACCAACACCAAACCAACCCAAAACCAACACACACTTCTTTCTTCAGGGCGCATGCCCAAGTTCCTTGAGCCAAAATGGATTATCGGGTGCATTGACCCTTCAACTTTCAACACCAACTCTTTTCTACAATACCAACTGCAGCTCCGCACTCCCCCTGTCCTAGGATTTCCTAGGACACATTGGAGGTGCAGACCTTTGGCCAAAAACCGCCATTTAAGCAGCCAGCTGCTTGAAATGCACATTATGGTTTTACGTCATCCAGGACGAACCTTCAACTCATTGGCCGAATCCCTTACCATTGAGGATTTCTTCACCTCGCACTTGAAAAATTCACGTTCCAGCGGCCCGTTCCTCACCAAGGAACTCAGCATTCACCACCCAGCCGTCCTTGAGGCAATGCTTACAAAGCGTCTTAGCCCTGGGCTGTGAATATCGCAGAACATCACAGTCACTGCTTGCATGCATACAGTTCCCACCCACTGTTGTATACAAAGTGGCACTCGCAGGAATAACCACCACTTTCTTAACCCACAGCCTTTTATACAGCTGCCGAACGAGGCACCATGCCAACTCCCAGAGTATAATTGCTGCCACCAAATACGCAACAAGGTCTGAATTGTTGATAAGCATTTCAATACCTTGAGCCAGAACCATAACCGTAGATGTGTTGGCGACCTTGCACACCCCTTCTTCTGAGCAAAAGAAACCAGCAGTTGACACTTCTTCTCCACCAGTTGCCATCCCTTGCAGAGATGCAGCCACCATCATGACCGCCATTGCAAGCGAGGCCCTCTTCAAGTCAGTCCCTTGTACCAACAGTCGGAGACCCCAAAGTGCCTTTTGCTTTGCATACACCTGTCCACTCATCAATTTGGTCAACAGGTCAGCGATCATATACTCACCGCGAAGGTGCGCGATCACCATATAACCACGGTCTACCAGAGACCTAACACCGGCTGCTCGAATTCTCAGGTGTCTTGTCCTCCAGCTTCCAGCCGGATATTGAATGATTGAGCATGTCGAAACCGAATCTGTATACAGCACTTTTTGCAGCGATTCTTCACCTGTTCCAACCAAAGCGGCAATTATAGGGGTGCACGACTGAATCATCGTTGCTCCCTCTATGGACGCATGTAATTCAGCTTCAGCAGTACTTAAAGCCACCGTTGATTGTCTCTGCGTTGCCCACATCACTGGGCAATCACCCCAAACCACCACCGCTCCTGAGTGGCTCTTTTCGTTTTCACCTGCTGCAAAGCTAGCATCCGCGTAGGACTCCACCACCTTGACGCCTCGCCCATAACGCAACACCTCATTCCTTTCTTTTTCGCATGTTGCGATTGCTCCAAACGTCAGGCCTAACGTTGGAGTTGCAGCAAGGTATCGAAATACCTCCTCAGCCTTTTTAACCACAAATCGCGGCCTTCGGGATGTCCACAAAGACAACTGGCTTGTGCAGAAAGCCAAATCAGGTCGAGTTTTGATTGCCACCCAGAGGAACTCCCCTACGGCACCTTGAGCCGCTCGCAAGGAAGGAATATCCACCTCCTCTTCTTCACCTGGAGTTTCTTTCACCATTGGCAGGTTACTACCTTTTCCAGTTTCATCAATCTGATACCCTCTTCGGTTCAGCAAATCTCTCACGAAGTCCTCCTGGTTGAGAAAGAAGCTGCCATTTCGACACCAGATTTGGACACCCAAAAACTTCAGGAATCCATCACCACAGCCTGGACCACAGAACTCGGGTTCAGAAGTTTTCCACTCCTTCCTGATCTGTTCCAAGGCTTCCCGGAGCACTGTCATAGTCCCAGCCATCAAAAAATCATCCACGTAAAGACCCATTGTCCCTACCAACTTGCTTGCACCTTCCGGCTTTTCTTGTGCCATAATAAGGAACAGACTTGGGTCTGCATTGGACCTCTGAAAGCTCATTGCTTGTCCATCCTTTGACACCCAAGACATACCTTGAAGACGTTGGTCTCGCCACTCCACCCATGTTGCAGGACTTTCGGCCAAACCGTACAAGGCCTTTCTCACAATCCACCGCTCCTCCTTTGTGCAAAGACCCAATTTCACCGCCGCCCTTGGGGGCTGCACCACCACCAGACGCCCTTCTCTTTGCGCCCTATTCATCGGCGCCGTCAGAAAAGCTTTGGAAATGTCTAAGCCAGCGATGATCCACACCATATATGCTGCGTGCCTCACTTGACACCTGAATGTAGTTGAATCTAAACCTGGAGCGTACAGCGAGTGACGACTGAGGGACCTCGGCCCTTCATATTCTGTAGCTGCCGTTGACGAAATAAAGTTTCCACATGCACAGATACGGGCACGTCGCCTCCCTGTCCCTTGCTTCCGGGTAAACACCACCAGACTGGGAACGTACTCAATCACCGGTGCATTAGGCTCTTCCGCCAATTTGTCCAGCTTTTCTTGAGTTGTTGGTTCCACCACCTCCAACTCTTTCACCAAAGACGTCACCTCGTCCGACAATGATTCCCTCCACTTTTCCAGCTCTTGCATGGCTTCTTGTGTAGGGATTGTTTTTGTTTGCAGGAACTCAACCTCCTCTGCTGCCTCAAGCGCGGTATTTTCTTGTACCATTTGCTGAACTTGAGCTGCTTTGACCAAAAACTTCGAGAGCTGTTCCTCAGCCCTTTTTGCTTTAACCAGCCATTCTCTAGTCTCTGATCCTTTTTCCTCATTCGACTCATTGGCCGATCCATGGAACTCGTCCAAAATGCAACATTCCTGTTCAGCAATTAGGCGTCGAATACTCAAATGCTCCTCTAGAGCCCATTGATGCGCTTCGAACACAGCGTAGTCGACTTCCTCTGCAAGGTCGTCCAGCGAGGTCTCTTTCAACGTCATTTTTAACCACTTCCTTTTTTCACCGTCTTCAGCTTGTGGCTCCGAAAGAGGAAACTTGCATTGGAGAAGATAGCACCTATCCTTGTAGCTCAAACGCTCCATAAAAACAGGTGTGTACCCTGTCAAGGATACCCTGTTCCCTTTCCAAGGCATAGGGCCATGCAGTTTTCTCGGAAAGAACGACATGAAGTTCCAGTGGACATCCACCAATTTTCCAGGTAAGACTTTCTTCCCATAGGATTGCTCCACCACTTCAGCTCCTTCCTCTAAGACCTTTTCATCCTCAACCCCCAGCTGACCATCGTTATAGTCACCAAAGCCACACACATAATTGCAGCAATGTTTTTCATTGTGACTATCCCTATGCAATGACACCGGAGCATTGCACGAGATCTGAAGAGCAGAAAATTTGGCTTCAGGATTGTGGTGCCTCACGAATGATGCCAAATAACGACATAGCCATGGCCTTCGATGAGTCTCTTTTGTAATACCACACACTCCGCCATGAGTATAGTGGCCCAACACCAGAGCTCGCGTACTTGTGCACCAATTGTTGATACCACCTCTTCGATTCACCCTCTTTGGGTATACAATCCCTTCCAAAAGCTCCTCACAGTCCACGTAATCATACATAGACCTTTCATACATTGACTTGGCTTTTTGCTCTTCTTTTTCCAACTGTGTTCCATCCTCAGCAGTTTCACTTTTGCAGACCAAATAAGCATTTTCATGAGGAGAACAGCAAGTCGGCCAATACTCATCACCAGGAACATTGTCCTCAACATCTGCATTTTCTTCCAGCTCCCCCAGACCCTGCATGTCATCCTCGAAAATTTCTAAGGGCGGACTCTCCCCCCGCTTGCGAAGCAAGCGCAAGGAGCCCACATGACCACGCAGTGAAGAGGCCGGGCTTTTTTCCTTTAACCGATGGCGAACTGGAGGATCGCGAGGTGGAGGTAAAGGAGGACCTTCCTCATCAGCGAACCGAAGCGCCGGTTTTTTCCCCTTGAGACGATGCTCTGGAGGAGAAGGCTCCTGTTCTTCTACCACCCCTTCCAGCTCCAATTCAGGCGGTTCCTTTATATTGGAAAAAATCGTAGTGCAGGGAAATAACACCAGTTCCTCCGGATCTTTTGCAGTCCCTTGAGCTTCCACCCAATAACCACCAGGTAGGTCATCGCATGGACCCAAAAGAAGCGCGGGCTGCGTACGATCGACCCATTGCCGACCTTTCTTTGTTCCATCCGGACCCAGCAACTCCCACGGACGACGTTTGACTTGAATTTGAGCACCAAAGGGAAGCAATGCTTTCGGTTTCAACCCCAACTCCCTTTCAGCTTTCTGCCACCGTAACATTGACCAATGGCGAGCAGCCAGTGCCCAGTACGCCGGCCCGAGTCGCGCCTCCTTTAAGAGCGACCTGACACCACGTTTGAATAAACCCACACATGCTTCAGCGCGCCCATTTGTTTGCGGGACTCCAGGATCACCAGTGGTACTATATATCAGACGAGTTTCACAAAAGGACCGGAAGCGTGCATTGACAAACTCCCCCGCTCGATCTGAGTGGATTCTCAACACCGGATACCCATGTCTCTGCAAGCGCACCATCATTCTTTGAACTGCCGACAAAACAGTTGTTTGCTGTTTATCCACAATCGGCTCCACCATAACGAAGT